TTTTTCGTTTTAACATATTAAAAAGGAACTTCATTTAAAATGTATCTATGTCTGTGCATATCTATGTATGCGTGCGTGCGATTGTGTGTTAGTGCGATTGTGTGTTAGTGCATAAGTGAGTGTGAAAATTATTTTGCGTATTTATGTATGCTTTTATTTTATATACAATATTTTGTAAGTTTATGAATAATGCATTAAAGTCATTTGTTATTTGTTATTTGTTCTGCTTGTTTTGTCATTTTTGTTTCGCAGTTATTATTTTGTAGTATGTACTTTTTGTCGGGGTATCCACAGGGGGATTTACTCCGTCGAGCTTGCTTAGCAAGCGCAATGGGTCACAATATACAAAATTATGTGTATTTTATAATGCTCGAATGTTTTTAATATTTAAAATTCTTTGAAAAAGGATATTAAATTGAAATTTGAATTGTTAAAATTCCTGCTAATGGTTTTGGCACATTGGAAAACAGTTCAAAAAAGCTGCATAAATACATTATCGAAAATATGTTTTATTTATCATAAAAACTTTAGTCCCAATTTAAAACTAAACTAAGAAAAAGAGTGTTAAAATGGTAAAAGGAACCATTAAACGTTTTTTTTAAATAACGCATATAGAGCACTTAACACCCATTAAAATTTTTGAGGATTTTTTACAAATAAAATATTTATAAAACATTTATAGAAATATTGATAGTGTCATTTAATTTCATTATTAAAATTAAATAATAACCTATTAAAAGTGATATTGAAATAAAGTATGTTTATAGATACAAAACGATTTGAAAAAAAGGAAATTGACAGGAACTACCTAGTATTAACACAACATCAAACTCCCATAAGCAATCGATCAACAGTTGTCACATTAAGTAAATAGAGTACCCCTATAAAAACAGTACCAAAAATAAGCTATGTGATAAGGTTAGGTTAGGTTATACCGACAATTCCTACAGGATCCACTTAGGCCTATTGATAAGGCCAATGTTACGGTACATAGAGGAAAACTCAGGGTTTAAAATCACCTAGAACTTTTGGCGAACCTCAAAATATTGTTTAATGTCAAGTCTTGTAATTGATCAAGATCCTCAAGAAAGGGGGCTCCTAAACTGTTGAGTCGCCTCCGTGTATGGGCAAAGACAGAGTAGATGAGAGGCACTCTCATCGGCTTTCCCACAGCTGCGACAGGTATGATTGAATGGGAGATTCAAGCTCCTGGCATGGTTCCTTAGTTTTCAGTGACCTATAAGTAAACTTACCATAAGATTGAAATCTCTACGAGACATCTTAATGAGAATATTGTATTTCCTAGAATATTGTATAGTGGCTAGATTGCACACAGATACCTGCATATCGTAAAGTCTTCAAATCTTTTATTAAAAATTTCAACAAAGAAAGAACTCAATAACAATTTCCATGATGTTAAGGATATGAACAGAATACTTAGGTGTTTCGAGTGAGGTTCTGCAATTACAATTGCTCTGCGGTTAAACATTTAAATCACTCATTTATTACACTATAGTAGTCTTTATCATTTTGATACATAGAAATATTGATAATGTGATTACTAATCCATTAAACAATAACTTTATTGAATGCGACATAAAAATATAATGTATTTATAAAAACAATTTAAAAAATAAACATTAAAAAAAAAGAAATATCATCTCAAAATTGGTTCTATTATTATTATTTATTGATTCATAAAAGAAATTCATACAGCACTTACAAAAATTATAGGATTTTACTTAAAATCTAAATTGATAATAACATATTTGTTGTGTGTCTACTACCTACTGTAAGGAAGGTATCAGGGGTGAAATATTGTCCCTAATATGTTATAATAAGCGATATTATGCAAAGAGCCTTAGTTAAGATAAGTACTCGAGCCACTAGCTGTGGTATTAACCCAAAAAAAAAAAACCGAAATTATGCTGGCTTTCAGTAACTTTCAATCACCTCAGTTTATACCCTGTATACGTTAAATATTCTGTATTAAATACTCTGTATTTAAGGTATACAAATCGATTTTTGTTAATATCATACAATATCATTATATAAATTTTTAATACAATTTCATTAACATTTATTACGTATCAAAGTCATTATCGCGTAATTTTCAAATATATTTAATTGAAACAATTAAAAAAATGCCATGTAATTGCCTCTGTCCAAAAACATACATAAATATAGGATGGATAAAAAAGGACTTTAGTAATCGATAGATATAAAAGAAATAAAATAAAAATTGCAGTGCAAAATAAAATTGCAAAAATTTATTTATAATTAAATAAAAAAATCTATTGGAATTTGAATAAATTGCGACGGTACATCACAATAGGTTCGAGGTCCTTATTAAATTACCGCTTAATCGTTCGGAAAATAAATGTTTATTTGTTGCATTTCAATTAATGATTTGAAAAATATATAAAAAAAAAACAAAACCCTGTAATCAGATTACAACATATTTGCATATGGAATAAGCCAAATTGTGGATGGACCTATGTGGGCAGAGCAGGACAGACAGAAATCATACCGATAAACAAAACAAAAGGATACAAATAATTTGCAACTATGTTTTAATTGATTTTTGATATTAAATAAATTAAAAACACAGTTTACAGACTTTTTAAACAATAATATATAATCAAATATAAACAAATGAACTTAGAGGGCAATTTAGGGTCTAATACATTTAAATAAAGTTTAATGCATATATAATTCATGGGTATAGATAGGAAGTAGAGGCCATAAACGCATGCGCGCCCTCTTCATTATGAAATATGACATCAAGAACATTTTTAAAGGACTACCACCTATATTGTCCTAGGCTATGTCCATGTTTAAATGTTTTGATTATAAGTAAATTACCAAGAAATAAATATAATTAATTTTAAATTAAAAAATTTTTGATATAATTATTCAAAATTTTTAATGGTTAAAGTAAAGAAAATCTACAGTTAAAATAATTTAAGACCAAGTCTAGGGAAAAAGTCCTGGTATATGCTATATCCTAATCACTGAAATTGTGAGGTAAAAGACAGTAACTTAGATAATTTAGCTGAAGTATTTTGTGAATTTTAAGAAAAATTATAAAATCTCATCTCATCTCAAAATCAATCCAACACTATTTCGATGATTCAAAGGTTAGAGGGTTAAATAATTGAAAGCGTGTTTGTCTTTTATTGATACTAGATTTTTTTTTTGGTGCAATATCAGAAAATAGTTTAAATGTATCTATTTTAGACACCACTGAACAGGATGTATAAAGCCGGAATAGAGTAATAAACCAAGTCTTAGATGCATGCGATGCTATGATCCAGTTTTTCGGTAGTTCAACTATTAAATTTTTAGGTGCAAAATTTTCGGAAAATAAGGGAAAATATTTGTACTTGTTCGTCTTCTTAGCGATCATTAAAACTTCAATAGGTGATTTTGCAAGGTATACTTTAGTCCATTAAATTTAGACGACAGGATTAAATTTCCTGGATCATCCTTGTTTTACAACGAATTTTAGTAGAAAATCGAAATCGCACCAATTTAAGATTTCTGTAAAAATCGTCGAAAAAGTTTTAACATATATGACTATTAATTTCTGATTTTTTAAATTTAAATCATTATCTTAACCTTCAGCTAAGACATGCCAAACAAGAATATGTTTTATTTACAAATACAAAATAAAAAAAGTTGGTAACTTGTTTTGATTAAATCTTTATAAAGCCATGTCCAAATAGATTGGTAGGATTCGATATATTAACATAAGCAGTACATATAACTGTTACAGTATATGAGATATCAGAATCATATTCAATACGGTACTGCAGTAGTTTACGATATTCAATGGTACTGCAACGCATTGCATTCAGTACATAGTAGTCATCTTATTTAAAGCAGTTGACAGTTAAAACTTTAATATAAATTAGGTTAGGTTGAAGTGGTAGCCTTGCGTCTAAACCTTACATAGGTTCAAATAGTGGCACGTTATGGTATCACTAAAATCAATTCAACCGACTAAAAATCAATTCACAAGCAACACCGAAAAACACGACTCCCCCATTTGGTAAAGGTGATTCACCAACTTCGGTTACCTGACACTTTGGTTTTAGACGTTCTTCTTAGGATGGACACTGACACATGAGGTAGAGCACAGGTTTGTCCTCATTTTCAAAGCCACAACCTCGTCAAAAGTCATTATAAGGTAACATAGAGACAGTTTTATAGAACCGATACAGTACTTAGCAGTTTACACTTTAGTTGCAGTAGTTGGCTTTTGTGTTTTTTTGTCTATTTTAAACCAGGTTAATCTACAGATCTGACAAAAGGTCAGATGAACCCAGTATTGCTTGGCAAAGCTAAGATATTTTGGTTTGATTGCCAGTCTAGCTGTAGCAAGTGGAATCTTAATGTCTGAAAAGTATATATCAGGGAACAGAGTGCCAGCCTTGGCAAGCTCGTCCATTCTACAATTGCCTGAGATGACCCTGTGTCCAGGATCCTTTTTGAATTGGACTCAAGTTGTTGGAGATGTAGCAGTAGTATCTACCAGATATTTAATGGCAGAAAAATTCGAAGAGATTGCGATATTAGCATTTGGAATTTGGTTATCTTGGGCCTATGTAACAGCATATTGAATTGCTGAGTAAAAGAGACTGCACTTATTTAGTAGTCGAACTGAAATGCTAACACTCAGTTTTTTAGAAAATATACCACAGCCGAGATATTTGTTTGGATGAATCATCGTTATAGATTAGACCATTACATAAATTCATATATACTTGATTTTTTTTTTTTAAAACCTTTTAAAATTCTTTGATTATAGTTTGGAATTATCACTGGTTCCATATTACTCAAATGTATATTTCAAATACTAAAATCATTTGAATTATCTGGAACAAACTGGTTCAGACATAAATATGATAAAATGCAAATTAAAAATATTAACAAATAAAAAATTCATAAATAAAAATTGTAAATTATAATCACGCAAGAAATAAAAGCATTCTTACCTGTAAATCTGTCAATCGAAACAGTTTGTTCATCGGAACTGGTCCAAATGGATGACAATGCCAATGGTGAATCGAAGCAGATAATGTCGCCGACAGAAAATATCGTCTGAGGTTAATAAAATAGACATACAGAAAACATCAGAAACATCAGCAGCAACAGAGTCATCAACAACAATGGTAATAAAAAAACGGCAGAAGGCATTATCAACCACGACAAATCAGAGCATCAGCGTCAAAAGCAACATTGATATCAGTAACAATAACAGGAGGCGAAGGCGAAGGCGGAGATGGAGGCGTTCCCGGAATCGTTGCAATGAAATTGCATTTGTATATATCGATAATGTTTCCAGCAGCATGCATGCAGCATAAAAATCATAGTAAATATAACGTTCCATCAATGTTGGTAATAGCGTTGATGATGACGATGATGATAATAGCGCAAGCATTGAAGACAACAGCATTTTCAGTAGATTTTTTTTTTTTGTATGGAAAAAAAATTAGAGATAAAAAATTGAGTATAAAAAATTGAGTATAAAAAATTATTTTAAAATAAAATACATATAAAAAGTATGAAATTTAGTGATTTTTGTGTGCTTCTTTCGTTTTCGTACACCGAATATTTTTTAGTCTTTGACAAAATAGTATAAAGCAGAGTAGAGCGAAATGATGGCGTAAAATTGACATTATCTCTAGTTGCATGCAATGTCATTTCAATAAAAATTTATAATACTTTTTACTGGTGTTAGATATTTTGGAATCTTTTGTTGCAATCGATAAAAACGTAATGATTATATAGGTCATCAATTCACGCGAATGTACGTACGTACGTTCGTTCTCAAAGCGATTCAAAGTATTTGCAACGTTTTTATATGCAACTTAAATTTTAATTTAGAACCATTAAATTGAAATACTTGTACGTGTAATGCAATTTAATACAAAAAACTTATGCTTCAGATAGGTAAAATGAAATAAAATTATATTGGGAAATCAAACAAAATATACTTTTTAATGTTAGAATTGTGATCTTTATATTCAATTAAAATCATCGTAAGATATCATAAACTCTGGTGGAGGCAATAACTTAGACGAATATATGTACACATATTAAACAAAATTTTCACACATAATAAAAGAATTACAGAATATATATATGAACACGTGGCAACCTTTACAGTCCGTGTAAAATTACCTACGGTGCTATTTCTGATAAAGCAAGCAAAAGATATTTGTCGTCCGGTATTAAAGTTGGAAATTAGTTAATTTAGTTATAAAATATACCGCCATAAAAAATAAATGGATTAATTTTAAATTGTCTTGCGTTTCATTTTCTCGTGTAAATAAAAGATTAACCATTTTAGGTGACCCTGCTAATAGAAATCTCATTCATCAATTACTATAATTGATAAACGTGATAGAAATCTTAGCTCTTTCGACGGTAGATACAAACCAGCATAAGCAAAAATTCATGAAACTATCGCCAACCGCTATTCTTTCTATACAAGATAACATTATCATATGCGCCATTATGTAACAAGGTCCCCATATTCAGATTAGATTACATAGATTATATCCCCAAATTCAACTCGACACCAACTGGGTAAATTCGACACCAACGAGAGATCCGTATGCATTTTACAAGAATTTGTACCAAAATAGCATATGCTGAACAAAAATTATAGTTGTATGTTAACGAAAAATTGACTAAGTACTATTGTTTAGATTGGATATCATCTACAATAAAATCTAGAACTATTCAAAGTATTAGAATAATGGATATTAAGTTTGAATTTTTAGTATTCCTCAACATTCTTAAATCAATTGTAACTGCTTATAATAACATCGATGTAGACAAAAGCGGGTGGCTGAAGAAATCCATCAAAAGTTACTAAAGTCTGTCAAAGATCTTAAAAAAAACCAGGAACCTAACTATATCAAGTTACTACAGCTTGTGGTACCCAACGTAACAACTAACTTATTAATGTAATAGACAAATCTATTAACCGACCAACTAACTCATGTTGTTGTTGCTGCTGCTGTAGTTGTTGTTGCACTCCGCAAGCATCTGCCTGTAGTCTCTTTTAGGAGTGCTAAAGAGCACTTGTTCGTCGAACTCGACGAATACACTGGAACATTAGCCCGGCCGTTCTTGGAATTTTAATGTTGTTGTTGTTGTAATCCGCTGGTATCTGTAAGCAGATAACATGAAATAGGATGGGTTGAGGGATGATAGAGGAGGAATGAGGATAAGGGGTAGTTTCCATGGGTGTGATCTAACTGAACATTAAACCAGATTCAGTCAAAGAAACCTGACCACTTTAATGGGATGAGTATCCAAAGGTTAATGGAAGGGACGTTTCTGTGCGTTAAAGGACAGGAACCTTAATAATTCCCTTTTGAGAATATTGCACTTTACTCAAAATATCGACGGGTCGAAGCTAGAGGCCCAAAATGCATATTTTTCACTTTTCAAAACATTAAAAGTTGCAAGTCCCAACACAGGTAAACATGTAGAGTGAATGAACTTTATTAACACATATAATTACCACCAGATGGCCTCGCAAACGAATTTTTTTTTTTGTAAAAAATTCCATATACTTTTGTACGCATTTTATATTGTTATTTTCTGCTTTCTAATCTACAGCAGAACATTATACCATATTTAACCAGTTCATTGGCAGTTGAGGGCATTAACCACATAAAATAAATGCATATATTTATTCTTACTTAAATATTAAATATCAAGTAGTTGCAGTAGAAACTATACGCTATTTCGCTCAAATACTTTTCATATTCTTCATGTATTGCATTTCTAATGTTACCCAACGAAAGGAATTTATTTCATTTCTTTTTGCAATTACTACACTTTTTGCACAATCCACAACAACCGTTGTTGCAACAAAGCATATTTACGTAAAGCAATTTAAAATAAGAATAATAACAATAATAATCCACAAGGGACATGACATATTTTTTTTAAACCTTTGGCAACATGTTTAGTGAGTGCAGTCGACATGCAACACCAACAGACTACAACACGAAACAACCGACCAACCTACAAACATACAAACATATCTACAAATACCCGCCCGCCGTAATGCTATATATCTGAAATAAAATGGAATGATGCAAAAAAAAATTGAAAAATCCTGCTGTGCTTACCTTTGTTGGGTAAATATGTTTCGATTCTGCTACTGACAGCTTGATGTAATCCTCAGCATATTTAACTCCGGTTGTGTCCTTTAAACTTATGGCGATCATGTTGTTTGTTTCACGTGGCAGATTTATCTATTGCAAAATAAAGAAAAATATTTATATAAAAAAATAAGAACAAGAAATAAGCTGAAAAAAATAAATTAAAATTGCGAAATAGAAGACGTAAAAGTTAAAAATACAACTTCAGTTTGACGCTACTTTCGTTGTCACAGTAAAAGTCCTTAGTGTATCCTTTTGCCTTCAGTTGCAGTGTCAGAGACGGTGATACGGTACGGTGATATTTTTGTATTCACCATTCGTTATAGGTAGGACAGGCAGCTTATAATAAGCAAAAAAAATCTACATCTATTCGCTGTAGCGACACATAACAATGTGAATCGCATTTTTATGATTCAGCTTGCAATGCCACACAAGAATTTAAGTACATCCAAAACCAAAACAATACTGCCATATAAAAGCGTTATACTTTAATGCAAAACAACAAAATACAAAGCACTTTTAATGCAACAAAAATACGTGATTGCGTATTAGTGAATATGAGATATATATAGCATACGCACACATAATTGACATCATCAGAAGATCCGTATTAATTGTACACGAATCCTACACATGGTAGAGCAGACAATGCAAATAGTGAAAGTGAATTAACAAAGGAATGGAGAAGAACATTATTATTCAACCATCCCCAATCCACCTACATTCCCTAAGCCAACCACCCTCAATCAACTATTACCCATCCACACCCTAACCCAGGTATTGTCATGTCATGTAAATTCCTTTATATTGTATTCTTTCAGATCCCCACGGGCTACAACAATAACAACAAATACATTGTATGCTACAAGAACGGCCGAAGCCACTGGTCAATTTTAACGACCAAGTAACATTCACTACCACCCAAAAGGAGTTTACAAGCAGATCTCTGCAAACCACAAAAAAAAGTACATTGCATATAATAAGAATATCTAAAGCATTTCAAAAATAGAACGAAAAAGCTGGTGGCGTGATGTTAAGGTGGTGCACAAGTTTTTAACTATATTGGATGTTATTGTTAATGTAACCCACTGGGAACTGGAAAGCAGATATTATGAAACGATTTACTAACATAAGTTAGGCGATTTTTAACGCAGATGAAGAAACAAGCTGGTGACTGATCCTTTAAAGCGTATTTTAATCTGTCAAATCTCTTTAAATCCTGAAATCTTATTATAACACTCAGGCTACTGCTGTGTGAGGCAATAGTATAGTCACATATAGTCACATATATGAATCCACATTAATCAATTATTCCATATTATAGTCAAATTAATCTAACAATTAGGTACTTTAGTAAAAAATGATCTGACCGCTTAGCCGAATTTAAGCGAAAAATTCCATAGAGAACTATTGAGATTATATGTAAAAAAGAGCGATTCCGCAGAAATTACAACCACACACTGTACACAAACTACCTTGAAACATATATAGTTCGTTCATATAGTTGAAATAAAAATAAAGTTCCATATTTTCCGGTAAGCGAATAATGTAGTTCATATGAGTAAAAAATGAATTAAATATGTTTTGTGGCAAATTATACGGTACGTAGACAGTAAGACAGACTATGTCTACGGTAGAGACATTTGTAGAAGCTGACAAAAACAAAAAAAGGATGTTAGATCCTCGGAATTTTTCTAAAGCATTAGTGACGCACATTGGAAATATACGTGATAAGTGTCTATATCCTTTAATCATCTGTAAGAGTCTCGTTGCGGAACAAACATAATCAAGACTGTCCGAAGGTGTAAGGAGCACTTATAACTTAACGATTCTCAATTTAAGTAATATTGACTCTGTTGTAGATATTTTCGATATATTCACTACATACATCCTCTGAGTGACTCATTTTAAACCGAAGTTCACCTATTCCATCTTAAGGGATTTCTGACAAGCAGAAAATGCATAAAGGTGATAAAATATCAAAACTCCGAAACAAAAAATAATGTGAAGAGTAAAAAGTCAAAATTGGTGAAAATTCAGTGTTTTGAATAATAGTAGTAATATTGTCCAAACTTCTATAAAAATCCGGGTGTTCAAATTTCTCGCCAGTTGCTACAATCTTATCTTCTCTTATTCTTAATATAGTAAACATATTGTAATAATTCAAACAAAATGTTTTATAAATATTGTATTAAGTAAGCATTTTGCAATATTCACCACTATCATTTTGGAACGCTTTTGGGACGTTACGACTCGCAAATAGAATGTTTTAATAATTCAAATGCTTGAGTACAACAAACTTAAGTAACATTTTAAAAGCGTAGGAAGCGCTGTTAAACTCGTTAATAAAAAAAAATAAAAATGCTACACAACCCTCAACATAACTCTATGAGATGTACTAAATAATTTTTAAATTGCTATTTATAAAGATTTAAACGATTTTCAAACAGACTGACAAAAGTAAAACTATTTAACATAAAAGATAAAATTAAAAATTTACCATAAAGCTATTATAGACTTTTACAATTAACGATTATACTTTATAATTCCTTTTACAAATTTTAATAAGAATTATAATCTCAATAAGTTTCCATTACAAAGTATTATGGTTGAATATATTACACAGCAGTAAATATTTTATTTACTTACCGCTACAGTCATATTATTGCCAATTTGTACGTCTACAATATCCTTGTGCGATAAATCGTATTTAATATCATTTATTTCCTCAATATTATGCGAGAACTCATTTCCCAAATTATCATGCAAGGATATTTTCAGGACAAAATTCATGCCACGTGGAATTGTATTCTCGATATGTTTCAGTTTTATTGTTGGATATGTAAGAGAAGCCAAAATATATTGTACATTTTTTACTTCAATGCCAATTGGTAAGCTTTGTTCAAATGTTTTTGCCTATAAATAATTAAATTAAGATTAATAGAAGAAAATTTTGAAAATATATCATAATAATATTACAATTATTAAATCTCGTCCTAATACATCCTGTGAATTGACAATGCCATCCTTTGTTACTTTAACAATGCCATTACTAGCACTGTCCGGTTTATAAACAACATTATCCAAATTCGATTTAAGTTGTATGGTACTTCGAGGTGCCACTAATATCCAATCCATTGTTATACGTTTCGGCAGTTCTAGCTCCAAGTTCTTGAAAACTGTATAGAACAAATAAAATTATTATATTTATAGAGAAATAAAATTAAAAACTTTAATACATTTATATATAAATATATTAAAATATTATATATATTTATATATGTTATATATTTATTTATTTTATTTAAGTTTTATTTTACTTTATTTAAATTTTTTGTTTTCATTTTTATTCTATATTTATTTTTAATTTTTAATTTTAGTTTTAATTTAATTTATTTTAATTTTATTTTATTTTATTTGTGTGTAACTTTTTTTATA